TTTAATAGAAATCATAAATGCTAGATCCCATAAACCTAACCCTCCCAAATGTGGTCCCATAACTTTTAACAGACATTATAAATGCTAGATTCCATAAACCTACTCCCCCTAATGTGGTCTTTGTTGACAATTACTATTTGGAAAAACAGCCACCTCTTCCAGTCTACACAGACTAATGTAGAAGACCTCCACTAACTACCAGGGTGAATCTTAAACTTTAGTAGTAGCTTAGGTTGGAGGCTTCAGATTGTCTCAGTTCACTTCTAGGTATATATCCTGCTGGGAGGGCATGTGCGTGTGTGCGTGCGTGCATCTGGACCTCCCTATATACCTGATTGCTTTTAAATGTCATAACTTCCCAAAGAGTTTCACACCAGATTCTCCTCAAGGCTTTAGGTGTTCTATTACATTCCTCTTCCCTAGTCCAGGTGTCCAGAGTTACACAGCTCCACTGCAGCTTTCATGCATCACAGAGCTGGCTTTGACAGCTTCTGCCAGCCCAAGATCTACGTAATGCCACTATTCCCACCTTTGTACTGAGTCACCTAAGATATAAGTTAGTTCCTAGGGAAGCCCACAGACAGGTCAAAGGTTGCGCAGGGATTCTGCACTGTGGCTTTTGGCCTGTGGGAGGCACCAGGAAGGCAAGGTGCCTTCACATGGTGGGCTGGCAGAGGGTAAGTAAAAGCATTACAAAACTTCCCACAGTTTTGAATGGCCTGAATTTCCCATGGTTTGAACTTCTTGATTGGGAGTTCACCTGGTCACTGGAGATCTCTGTTTGGTTTACAGAGCTCCTTTGAAGTTATTCTGGTCAGTCTCCAGCTGCCTTTCTAGTGCTACCACGAGGGAACAAAAACTTGGACATTTCCTAGTTCACAGTCCCACTATTATCACTCTTTTATTATTAAATGAGTTATATAAAAACAATTTCAACATTTCTAGGTGGCTACATGTTTATTGTTATTTTCTAGGTTTTTAATTTTTACTGGAGTCATAGAATCTAGCTTTTGTGATTTCTATAAAAATGTACGATCATTTTAAAACATGATCTACAAATGGTTAAAAATACTGAGCATTTTCTATTGTTGTAAAGTTACCTGTATTTATGAAACTATGATGGATAACTATTATTCAAATAATTTACTTACTCATTTTGCCTCATTGATCTGTTGATTTCTGAGAGAGCAGTGAGAAATTTCCCATCATGATTGTCCACTTCCTATGATAAAAGTTTTGGCTTGGTGAGGTATGGCTAGTACATTTTTCTGATTGATTATGCCCCTCTTTGTTTTGCAGAATACTTTTGTCTTGAATTCTATTAAAATTTTATTTGCTATTAATATTACCACTCATTACTGAATTTTGTTAACATCTTCCTGATTAAATTTTATATTTTCAACCTTTTATATCTTTCTATTTTACATATATTTCATAATAAATATAAACCTGAGTCTAACTTTTCCTTTTCATGCCCCTTCTCCTTCTGATAGAGTTTAATCCATTCATATTCATGTTTATATTTATTTCTGACACCGTTCTGTTTTGTATTTGTTATGCTAAGTTTCTTCTCTCCCTGACACACTCTATTCCCCATCATTAACTGAATTTACCATATTTCATTTTTTTAACTTTTGGAAGTTTCATTTAGAAGTCTGACACCTAATTCCCAATGTTTCTCAAAGTAGAGATAAGGATCAATTACACCACAATTATTTGGGGCATTTTTAAAATTTGTGGTAAAATACATATACGCAAGATTTACCACTTGATCTATTTTTTAAGGGTAGAGCTCACAGCATGAAGTAAACTCACATGTTTTGTAACCATCACCAGTATCCATCGCTACACATTTTTCATCATTCCAAAATTAAACTTTGTATCCGTTACACAGTAACTCCCAATTTTTCTCTCCTCCTTTTCCTTGTTAACAACTATTTTACTTTCCATCTCTTGAATTTGACTCTTCCAGGTACCTCATATAGATGAAGTCATACAATTATTTGCCCTTTTATTTTTGGCTTATTTCTCCTGGTTTGTCTGTTTCATTCACTTTAAAAGCCAAAAAATATTCCACTGGATGCATATCCTACTACTTTGTTTAGCCATTCATTTTTCCAAGAAGGCATCTGGGACATTTCCAGGTCCTAGCTACTGAGAGTACAGGTGCTATGAATGTAGGTAACAAGTATCTGTCAAAGTTCCTCATTTCAATTCTTTTGGGTGGTACCCAGAGTAGGAGCAGAACTGCTGGATCATATGATAAAATAAGTTTCAGTTTTTTGAGGATGCACCACGTTGTTTTCCACAGTGGCCACACATTTCACATTACCACATTGCTTTCCACAGTGGCCACACCATTTCACATTCCATCAGCAATAGATCAGTGTTACAATTTTTCCATGTGCTCTCCAGGACTTCTTGTTTTACTAACACCCATCCTAATATATGTAAAGTAGCATCTCACTGTAGATTTCACTGATATTTACCTAATGATTAGGGATGCTGAGTATCTTTTCATGTTCTGCTTATCACCTTTGGAGAAATGTCTATTCAAGTCTTTTGCCCATTTTTGATTTGTATTTTTATTGTTGAGCTTTGAGAATTCTTTACATATACTAGATACTATAAATACCTAAACAAATACACTTACAATTTTTTTTTCTTCACTGCATGGAGTTCCTTTTATTGTATTAGTAGAGTCCTTTGATGTACAACCTGGAGTATTTTTAAAAATATAGGTGGTAGAATCTCATTGTAGACCTATATAATCAGAGTGCCTGGAAAGTGAAGTCTGATCATCTATGTATTTTTAAACAGCATACCAAGTGATTACTAGGCCTATCTACTTACATGTATGCATGTATTTATGTATATGTGTATGTATGTATATACTGCAGTACTGAGAATTGAACCCAGGACCTCACACATTAGGAAGTGTTCTACCACTGAAATACATTCCCAATCTTTTTTTAGTTTTTATTTTGAGACTGGCTTTCTCTAAGTTGCCCATCCTGGTCTTGAGTTTGATGAGCCTTGTGCCTCAGCTTCCAGACTAGTTGAGATTATAGGTATAAACCACCATGGCCAGCTGCTTATTTTAGGTGTTGCCCATTAATTTTTTTAACTAGCATTCAAAAACATTTTGGGGCATAAATTTTGAAATCTGATCAGGATATCTTGATTTTTTTTTGAGGAAATAAAAATTCTAAATTTTACCCATCTGGCACCACAGCCCTGATGTTTTATTAAAATTAAACAACATTTTAGTTGTTTTTATATCAAGCTTTCATATTTTGGAGAATTCTTTCTTTATAACTACATTTAAGACTTTTAGCCACACTGTCAATAACTTTTTACACAACTATAAATATCGTAACTTTCTTTGATTATGACTCAGTTTTGTGTATTGTGGCTTTTCCATATGTACATGAGTATTTCATGCACTGGATTATATCTTTGAGCAATGTTTTCAGACTATGAACAATAAATGTACTGAGTTCCTGGACTTCAATATTTACTTATATTTTTTCCTTACATATTGATACATTAGCTACTGATGAGAACTAAAAGTCAAAATAATTTTTTTGCACATTTGTCGTATAAATTTTACAGTCATATATAAACTTTAACAATTTTATAGAATTCTGTAACACAGATGAAAAGTCTGTTCTTCAAGTCTGTCTGGAGAAAAGAATCCTATTCTTATTTGTCAATAACTAGTTTTTTTTTGTTGTTTTTACAAAACATTGTCTCCCTCTGGAATCTTTTAATCCTTTTCTTTGTACTCAGGACTTAGAAATATGACCAAATTAATTTTTTTCCTCCCTCACAGCTATCACTCCTACTTGGTATCCATTGGCCCTCAAAATTAACAACTCTTCTCCAATTATATTGTCAGTTGTGTCCCTTGATGTCCAGTTTTCTATTCTTCATTTCTGGAACAGATGGTTGACGGTCTCTGGGATTTCTCTTTACTCCTGTTTCACACTTACTTGGTTTTTGACTTTATGTTTTAAAATATCCATTTTATCTTTTATATTTATTTCCACCATCATCCCTATACATTTCATTATTCAAATCTGGTACTAAGTTATTTTATTTTGGCAATGGTTTTAATTTCTAAGAACATTTTTCTTCTTTAGGTACTTTTCAGATATTCCGGTTACATTCTTCTTTCAGTCCCTTCAGTGTTTGTTTTCTCCTCTGGCTTTTTTCTTTCAAACTGCTAATATTTTGAAAATATCTTATAATTCTTAATTTCCCATTTATAATTAAAATGTGGAATGAGGTAAACTGTTACTGGGGAGACAGTCTGAGGGTCTCCGAGCAGGCAACAGGTTTATCTAACCAATTCCCCTTTTTGTATCCCATGGAGAGCTGAGATTACCTCAAGTTTGGCACACTTCATAATCTAGTTCCAACGTCAATTCTATGAAATTTTCTACAGTAGACTGCCCACTTATCTATACAATTATCAAATTATTCTTTCAGCTTCAATGAAGGAGTACTTGTTATAGATAACCCCTCTGTAAATATGAAGCAAAAGAGGGAAGTTACATTAATTAACTTCCCACAAGGACACATTCTGATCTGTTCACATGTCCTATGACTGCTAATCTTATGCTGAGAATCTGTGTTTCCTGCACATTCTGGATTATAGCTTTTCTCTGTTGATTTCTTGATCACACAGATTCTATTTGCCTTCTATCTTTAAGGAGTTTCTCAAAATGTCTGATCAACTCAAACTGTCCTGTTTTATGTTAGTGTTACAGATTTGTTTTTTCCTCTTTAGTCATTTCTGTCATATTAATGGAGTTGAGAATGACAAAAAATAAATGGCTATTATTATTCTGTTATTTGAATTTAGAGGATCAGGGTTATCTTAAAGAAGCTTTCCCTTCTCTTCTACAGTCCCATTATAAACAACCTAAAAAGTTAAGGAGTATTTTTAGATTAAAAGAATTTGTAGATCACTCTAAATTTTGTCAGTATTATACCTGTCAATGGCTTGAAGATCATTGGTTGGATTCCAAGTAGGATCAAATAATATAACAACGTTGGCACCAACAAAATTGAGGCCTAGTCCACCAGCCCTGGAAGAAACAGAAAAGAGCTCATTAAAAAAGCATAGAGCTCAACTGTGCCAAGTTTCTGCAGCCAAAACAATAAGTCATACATTAACATCACTAAAGCAGGATGATTAAAACACAAAGATACCTATGGAATATTCTTTTTCTACTCTTCTAGAAAACCCTTCAAAGAAATGCTGATTTGAGCTGATATCAATAGGCTGTGCTGGTTTTTACAATTTTTGGATATTCAAGTACTATTTCTGTAAGATTTTCTTACATAATTTAAAAAACCTGTTAGTATGTTTCAGCTAAATAAAATAATACAGTGGTACCTCGATTTACAAACTTAATTCATTTTATGATTCTGGGAAAGATGGCTGCATTTGTGTTTGTGTGGGGAATATGGCCGAGATAGTGTTTGTCAGCCAATGGGAAACTTGTGAATGGAAGCAAAACTTTGCCAAATGCTTTTGTTTGTAAACCAAACTGTTTGCAAATAGAAGTGTTCACAAAGGTAGACAAAAAGACTACTGATTGTGAGGTCTAAGAAATGACAGTGACTTCTGTAGCTTTGGTTTTGCTTAATATGGTCCAAGCTGGTTCTGTAGAATTTAGAAAGCAGGAAATGCCAGCAGTCACAGACTAAAAATTGTGCCAGAAAGGGTTTATGCCCCTAAACAGTTACATTTTGAAAAGAGTAAAGCCTCAAATCAATAATACGAAGTCCTATCCCGAAAAAACTAGAAAAAGAGAAAAATTCAAAGCAAACAGAAAACAGGAAATAGTTAAGTTGCAAGAACAGAAATTAATACAATTAAGCATCCAAAAAATGAGAAAAAAGGGAAAGGAAAAGCACAATCTTTGCTAAACTTCTACAAAGAATGTCAAAGATAAACAGAATACACAAATTACCAGTAGCAGGAATAAGAAGGGACGTAACACTATCCATGCTGCAACTATTACAAAGGTGAATACAATGTACCACTTGATCGTCATAAATTCAACAAGTTAAAAATAGACTAACTTCTCAAAAACCACAAACTACTAAATTCAACTAAATAAAATAAATGACTCAAATAGTCCTGTAGCAACTAAAGAAATTAAATAAACATTTAAAATTACCTTAGGGGAAAAAATCCAGGCCTGTTAGTTTCACTGGAGAATTTTATCATTTACAAAAGAATTTACACCAATTTTTTTTTTGGTACTGTGATGAACCCAGGGCCTCACACATGCTAGTCAAGCAGTATACAACTGAGCTGCTGGAAGCCCTTTCAAAATTTCATTTTGAGGTAGGTTCTTGTTCAGCTGGGCAGGCTACCATCGAACTTTCTATCCTCCTGCCTTAGCCTCTTGAGTAGCTAAGATTATAGGCTTATACCAAAATGCTCAGCATAACATCAGTTTTCACAAAATCTATTCCACAAAATAAAAGAGAAAAGAACAATTACCATTCACTGTATAGAGCTAGTACTAGAACAAACAAAAAAGCTAGTACTATCCTGATCCATTTACCAAAGCCAAACAATGTGAAAAAAAGGAAATAGAAAGAAAACTATCAGTATCTCTCATGAGCTGAGATACAAAAATCCTCAACAAAGTATCAGTAAATCCAACTATAGATAAAAATAGTTATATACCACTGCTGATTGGTATTTACTGCAAAAATGCAAGGCAGGTTCAACATCTGAACCCAATCAATGTCATCTATATTGACAGAATAAAGAAGAAAAATCACATCATATCAATGGATGTAGAGAAAGTATTTGATGAAATCCAATACCAATTCATAATTTTAAAAACTCTCAGGAAAATAGGAATTGAAGAGAAATTCCTCAATTCAACAAAGAACATTTACAAGGAAGCCACAATTAACATCATATTTAGAAGTAAAAGGTTGAATGCTTTAATAAGTCCAGGGATGAGATAGTGTTGTTTTTGCTCATCACTCTGTAATACTACAAGTTCCAACTACTGCAGTAGACAAGAAGGAAAAAAAAGGGTACACAGATCAGGCAGGAAAAAAATTAAACTGGCACTATTTGAGGATGAATATCTATGTAGAATATCTCAAAGACTCTATAGGGGGAAAACCTGCTAGAAGTAACAGGTAATTCCAGAGATGTTAGAGGGTACAAGAGTAACCTAACCTACCCCCGCCAAAAAACACATAGTATTTGTATGAACAGACCAAATGTTCCTTATCTGAGGTGCTTGAGATCAGAAATATTCTCAACTTAGGATTTTTTCAGGTTTTTGAACATTTGCACACAAGAAGATATTCTGGGGATGGAAGCCGAGTCTAAATATGAATTCATTTATGTTTCAAAACTACCTTACAAATGGCTTGAAAGTAATTTTATACATTATATTTAATAATTTTATACATGAAGCTAAGTTTGTCCATGACAGCTGAAGGTGCCAAGAGGGATTTTCTTCCCTCATGCTAATAAACTAGATGTTGTGTACCTGTGTTTTGACTGCAATCTGTCTCTTGAAATCAGGAGTGAATTTTCTACTTGTGAAGTCATACTAGAGTTTGCAGCATTTGTGTTTCAGATTTTTGGATTAAGGATGCTCAACCCATAAAACAATGAACATATGGAAACTAAAATTTGAAAACATAATGCCACACCAAAGAAAATGAAATGGTTAAATATAAAGGAAGCCAAACATGTACAGGATTTGTATATTGAAAATTACAAAATGCTGATTAAAGAAATCACACAGATCTAAAGAGGATGAAGATCCACCATGTTTATGGATTGGAAGGATCAACATAAAGATGTCAATTACCTCCATATTAAGCTATGATAAATTTCCTATCAGAATTATGGCAAAGTTATTTTTTGTATATATATATATATATATATATATATATATATAAAAGCTTATTTTAAAATTTATATAGAAAAGCATGTCATAGAGAACCCTTCTCAGGGCCGAGGAAGTTTGTATTTGCACTCCCATGAAAAGTTATTGGAATTCTTGCGACTCTATTCCAATCTACCACATCCAGTGCAACCCATGGCGAGAATAAAGACACTAAGACATATTTGTAGTTATGGGGAGCCGAGGCGTCCTAAGCCTCACCATGATGATGGCCATCTGGAACAAAGGCATATATCCAGGACCAAACCCAGATTTTATTCATTTGTGAAGAAGGGAGAGGCTTGAGGACCAGTGACTGTAAGAGTGGCAGGAAGTACGTGAGTGCCATGAGCTGGGCTAGGTAGGAGGCCTGAAATCACCTCTGCCATATGCAGACAGAAGGATATGCAGAAAGACTAATCTGCATAACACAATTAAGAACAGTATCTAATGTTTTGGGGTCCATGCTTCAGCTCTGATGCATAATCTTTCAAGCCCCAGGAAGCCATAGCCTCTATCTCAAGGCTTGATCCCAGCCAACAGCATGGAGCCTTGGCTCTACATTCCCCCTGTCCCAGCTCACACAAGGGAACAGGTGGGGAATCTGGGGAAACACGCCTGCCATCTTCAAAGACTACCTTCAGTACCTCGGCTAGACTGATATGCACTGCTTAAAGCCAACTGAAGGGATAAGGAAAAGTCCTAGCCAGCTCTGTACATATCAATACATGGAAATAGTGTCAGGCTCAGCCAAAATGGACGCAACTGCTCCTCTTTCAGAGTTGCCCAGGTGGTCCTCCACAAATACCTAATACAATCTTGGGGATAAATAACTTGGAGGAATCATTTTACCTATTGCAAACAGATGCCACATGTTCTCTATCTTCACTAGGAAGAGAACAAGGTAACATCAATGATCGTTTTATAATGAGCTGCACCTTATACTTTTCTGGACTCAGAGGATTGTTTTCTCCACATATTTCTTCTCTTGGTTGCTTCCTATACTCACTCATCAAAGTCAAAGCCACTCTAGGTATCATTTTTTCTTCTCTTTCATTACTGCCCTTTCCACTATGAGCCAATCAATATTAAATCCCAGTAAGTTTATCTGGAAAATGTTTATCTATGTGTCCATTCTCCATTTCTCTTACCACTGTCTTATCATATCAAACTGTTAGCATATTGACTTACAGATATTTCACTGGCCTCCTGTGATCCTTTACTTAAGACTTTGAATCCATTCCCATTTTACAAAAAATTATTTTAAACATATAGTAAAAAACAAAACAAACAAAAAATAATTATAACTGTCCTCTGTTTGAAAATTCTAAAACCTTAAGTTCCTATTGACCAGAGACCCACTCTGTAGGCCTCAATGACCAGGCCTATTTCCTCTGCAGCTGGTATATCTGGTCATTCTTGAACTTTAACCAAAGAACCTGCAAAATACTACACTGCCTTCATATAATTTTCTTTGCTTTCTTCCTTGCCTGGCTAACTTTTATTTATCCTTCTAGAACCATTTATAAATTCTGAACTGAATATTCCTCTTCTCTCTGCTTCCTACTACCCTGCATTTACCACAATGTACTGAAAACTTCCTTTCATATATTACTAAACAACTCATCCTCTATGTCCATACTTTTTCAGTTATAAATTTTAAAGTACTTGTGGTCACATCTTTTATATCTGTCTTTCTTTAGAACCTATCATAGAGTGCATAACCACTGTTTCTTAAATCGAATTTTGTAAAATTAACTAATGACTCCTATTCTGTTGTAGACCCAGGTCTTTCCTACATGAATCCTCAGCTCTAACCACTTACATTCTCTAGACATTTGTGTACTTATGTTACTCTCTCAGCTTAATGCTGTTTCTCTAAATCTGCTTCTCCATTTCTTTCTAATGAAGTCTTATCTTCTTAGAAAGGGCCAGGTTAAACATACGATTCTTCTATAATTTTCATAAAGTTTCCCCAGAAGGTCAACAATGAACTTAAACATTGAATTTGATCTGGTTCTCGTCCCATTTGGTTTGTTACCAGAATTGTGGAAAGAATTAAGATCATGTTTTTTTTTTTGTTTTTGTTTTTTGTTTTTTCTCCGGTACCGGGAACCGAACTCACGACCTTGCGCTTGCCAGGCAGGCGCTTTTGCCACTGAGCTAAATCCCCAGCCCCAAGAATTAAGATCATGAACCTGAGGTACCATTGTAAATGTAATCCACTGCAAAATGAGAAAAATGAAACAATAACTAAACTTGTCTTTTGCAAAACACAGCTGAAGAATGTATTTATTGTATTATTTAAGATTATTTATGTAATGATTTATGTAAAAAGTTACTTCTTGAATACAGTCACAGTAAAACAGGAGCCCCAAACTTCTTCACCTTAACAGGATTCCTTGCAGAAGACAAAGCCGTATGATGCAAATGGAAACCCCTAACAATCAGTCTCCATAGAATTTCCACAAAGGAAAGCCCTCTAAAGGTAAGTTCAAAAAAGAAAATTACAAAATACGTGAATAAACTACCTACCATATGCAAGAGCCAGAGGGGACACCAAGGAGAAGGATTAGCATCTCCAAGGACATGGAAGATAGCGCAAAAGTGCCATCCAAAAGGAGACTGTTTTAAAGAAGTGATTAAAATTACTAATGAAATAAAAGAAAGGCTAGAAATTATCAAAGCAATGCAAGTAATTTGGAAAAAAACATAGATTTGGAAAAAACAGGATTCTATAAATGAAAAATATAGTCTTTAAAAATTAAAAATTCAACCGGGCAGTGGTACACACCTATAATCCCAGCTACTCAGGAAGCTGAGGCAGGAGGATACCACGTTCAAGGCCTGTATGAGCAACAGAGAAAAACCCCATATTAAAAATAAAGTTCTCTTTATGGGTTAAATAACAATTTTGTAAGACAGATGAAGAGATAACTAGGATCTTTACGGCAATTAGCACACTGAGCTGGAGGTGAAAAGAAGATAAGGAAGAGACGACTACTACTTGCTACTGTAGGTTCTATATTCCTTGGACTGTTGTTTAACATATTCATCACTCTGAAACACATTATGCTTATGTATGTTTTATAAAACTGAATTGATGACAGTATTATATATCATTTAATGCATTATAAAAAAGAAGTAAAGCATTATATAAAAGAAGTATATCATTTAATGCATTACATAAAAGAATTGATGACAGTATTATATATCATTTAATGCATTATATAAAGGCCTTCTCAAATTCATTTACAGGAAAATGGGAACCCAAAGTTTCTTTTCTCTTGATTTATTGTGGGAGATAAAGAATGATTTTAGTGGTCCACAGTAGAATCTCAGTACAAATGTACCTTAATTCCCATTTTAAGATAATTTTTATGGTTTTTTGTCATGCATTTTACATGTTTATTTTTAAAGTCCCTTGAAATTCTTTTTGAAAGACAGTGGGGGTAAATCTGTAACATTCTTACATCAAAAACTACAGGTTTATTACTCCCAAAAGGGATTTTTGTAACTTATTGATTTATATTGATTTGTCTTCCTCTAATATGTGTATTTTCTTTAGAAGACTTGAATTAGAGATTCATAAATAGGTGTTAGAACTAGTCTGCCTTTTATAAAATGCCTATCCTTGCAGCTGCTTGTGAAGACACAGTAAAAGCAGAGAAGAGTCAGGCCTGACTCTGAACACAGGCCCAGAAACCCTCAAACACTGCTGCTGCAGTGATGCCCAGTTACCACGAAAATGAGAAGCCTGACGGTTCTGGCCATAAGACACGAGACACCAGAAATCTGGGAGGCTGCATCCATTTTTTAAAATTGTTATCTTTATAAACCTATATTCAATATAAAGAGAATTCAGTAATAAAGGAAATAAGAAACATGTGAAACTTGAGACACTGTTATTTCAGTTATAATTAATAGCATTTTGGCTGCTTCTCCTTAAAGTCAAATAAAAATAGCATAAGCATATCCACTGAAAATTAATTTAGTAACAGCTCTAAAATTATTCTAAATCTTAAAAGCAGTTAGATGAATATCAAGCTATCAAATTTTATTTTCTTACATCGTAGAGACAAGGCAAATGTTAACATCTTGTGTGCTGTTGAACTCTTTCACAATCCTGAGTCTTTCCTCTGATTTTGTACTTCCATCGAGTCGCCGGTAATCGAGCCCAGACGCCATACAGTACCGCTGTAGCACATCGAGCAACTGCAAGGAAGGCAGGGGGTTGGGCAAACATACATTTTTATAAGTTTGTAAGTTTCATTCCATTATAGAGATTGGGTTTTCCAAGCACTAATTAGTAGTGCTCATGGTTTCTTTCTTAAAATTCCATGAGCAATTAAGTATTTGGGGGCTGAGATTGTACCTCAAGTGGTAGAGCACTTGTCTAGCATATATAGGCCTGGGTTTGATCACCAGTACCACAAAAAATAAAATAAATAAATATTTTTCATACTTCTGACCCACTATTTCTTTTCATCACTCTGAAACTTGCTTTAACATTTAAAAATCTTTGATTAAAAAAGTCAACCTTTTTAAAAAAATTAAAAAGAAAATTACTGGTCAAGTCATTTATAAAAATGTACTTTACTACTCAGGCTATTTTCTTAATCCTAAAATATCTTAAATGTCTTACAGAACACCTTAATTATTAACAAGAATATCAACAAAAATAGTCTGTATTTGCTATTAGACAGTAACCATCTGAGATAACTGATATTTAAGTGTCTATTTGAAAATTTTGAGTTGCTTATTTCACTATCACTATCACTATCACAGAAAATGTGACTATAAGTTGCTATGTTCTTTATGTGTTATGCTTTGGGAGTCAGGGCTGGATCAGTTAAGAATGCATCCCAGATGAAACTCACCTTGGTGGAAAAGGAGAAGAGAAGAATCTTATCTTTGTTTTTCCTGAAATGATTTAAAAGCTGTTGAAGGACCTGGAAATGAACCACAGATCATCGGTGAACCAGATCCAACTAAAAGCATGTTTTATACATATAAACATCACTTGACAATTTCTTAAAAATTATTTTCCTATAATGCTAACCACAGTCATCTTTACTAATTCCCTTTACTTTTTCCAAGTTAGAGAAATAAAGTATTAGGTATTACACTAAATGTTATTTATTATCATATTATCAATAAGACGGTTAAGTTCCTAAAGACTTATTTCATCTCATCTGATTTTAATAAAAAGGAAGCAAAATGGGATGCATTTAAACAGATTAAATTAATTTCCAAAACATATTTTCTTCATACCTATAATATGTTAAGAAACTAGAGAGCAGCATACCTTTTAGGAAGTGTTGTAATTGTCTCTGGATAGATGTAATAAAATGTGTTCAATTATATCTATGCTCTAAAAGTCCTGATATTTATTTTCTTAGAATAATCAGTCAGATAGACCTCTTCTCATTTTCTCTTCTCTGTTTCTATATTTATAGTAAGCCCTGACTTTCAGATTGGATTTTAACCTCAAAAATGCCAATAACATGGCCCCACACACAGTGCTGTTAGCAAGGAGGCCAGCAGTCCAAAGCCTTGTATATAACAGAAATACTGTTATTTTTAAACAGGCATTTCCACATCTGGCAATGACAGCTCCAGAACACAGTGGAAAAGCAATCCACAAAGGAAAAAAGGAATTTTCTGCACTAAGTCTAAATGAAATGACCACTTAAGCAATTTTATTTAATCAGTGATAAACATTTAAACTTTTTTTTGAGACAGGGTCTCAGTATGTATTCCAGGCTGGCCTTGAACTCACTATGCAGCTTAGGTTGGCTTTAAACTCATTACTGTAGTCAGAGTTTGCAAAGGAACTAATTTAATACAGGAAACATAATTTATAGATTATTTTATAGTAGTCACCCAAATAGTCAAGTACAAAAGAGTGCAGGAAATCTGTCCACACACTAAAGACCCAAAGAAGCCCATCACAATGCCCCCCACAAGTCCAACTGGAGGCCAAGGGCCCGCAACAATGTCTCATGCAAGCCTGTTTCAAGAATCTGCACTGAGAAAGCCCCAAGGTCAGTGGTGGAAGCTAGAAAGTCTGTGTTAGTGGGGTGAAGAATCTGTGCCAACAGGCTGAAGAGGGATCCCTACTGAAGCCAGGAAGTGACACTCAAAGTAAGAACCAGAGTTCCCCCGAAAAGGACCACAGCCAGATGCTGGACTGCTCCTACTAAAGTGAAAAGGCTAAAAGGTAGATAAACACCAGAAATCAAAGCTAAGACATCATTAGAAAGGAGACATTAATGAAAGATATCGTACTACTACAATGGAGTTGCTCCACTCTAATTGATCCTCAAACTCAACACACACACACACACACACACACACACTCTCTCTCTCTCTCTCTCTCTCTCTCTCTCTCTCTCTCTCTCTCTCTCTCTCCCCCTCTCCATGAGGAAACAAGGCAACAAAATGCCCCCCAAAACTCCTTCCTCTCCCAAAGCTTATCCAATGGTCACTGATGGGAAGAAAACCAAAACCTAATGGCTGAATTGTATGAAATGATAACACAAGAACCTTAGGTAGCCTAAAGATGATATGCCTAAAAACAGATAATGGACTTAATAAACAATCTGAGTTTAAAGAAGTGAGTTTAAAGAAGATTCAAATAAAAAATTAGCAGAGCTAACCAAAACAATTTAAAACATGAATGAGAATTCAGCAAAGAATTAGAGTCCATGAAAACATACCAAAAAGAAATACAGTAAATCAATAATTCTACTGAACATATGAGTGGGAAAATGATCAATATAAGGAGAAAATGTCAAAAGTAGGTCTGACATACATGACCATATACTTAGACATACCTTAAAAACAGAAACAGAATAAGGGAAAGGGGTCCAATAACTTCTAGAAGATGCAAAGAGTAACCTAAGACTAATGGAGTAAGAGAAAAGACAGAGGATAGCACAAATGGCATTTAAAAATTCTGCTTACAGAAATCATAGCAGACCCTGACTTGAAATTATACTATAAAGCTACTGTGATAAAATCAGCATGGTATTGGCAAAAACAAGATCTGAAGATCAATGGAATAGACTAAAAGATGCAGCTGCAACCACAAACACACATGTTTGACAAAGGGACCAAACATGTTCACTGGAAGAAAGACAGCCTCTTTAATAAATGGTGCTGGAAAAACTGGCTTTCCACATGCTGAAGACTAAAACTAGACCCATGCCTATCATCATGCACCAAAATAAAGTCAAAATGGCTTAAAGATCTAAATATTAAAACAGAAACACTAAATCTACTGGAAGGGAAAGTAGGCGGAAGTCTTGAAGACATAGGGGTAGGCAGAGAGTTCATGAACAAAAGCCAAACTGCAAGGGAAATACTTCAAAGAACCAACAACTGGGATCTCATCTTACTGAAAAGATTCTGCATATCAAAGGGTGAAAAGAAAACCCACAAATTGGGAAAAAAATTTAGCCAACTGTTCCTCTGACAAAGGACTCCTCTCTACAATATATAAGGAATTTAAGAAAAAATCAGGTCCCCAAAATTCAAAGACCCAATACAAAAATGGGCATCTGAGATGAATACACACTTCTCAGATAAAGAAATACAAATGGCAAATAAATACATGAAAAACTGTTCAATATCATTTGTCATTCGAGAAATGCAAATTAAACAACACTGAGATTCTATCTCACCTCAGAAAGAATGGCTATCATCAAGAAATCAACCAATAACAAATGCTACAAGTGCTGTGGGGCAAAAGGAACTCTTCTCCACTGTTGGTAGAACTGTGGATTGGTGCAGTCACTGTGGAAGTCAGACTGGAGATTCCTCAGTAAACTAGGATCAGAGATCCCATTCAACTCAGCTATTCCCCTCTGGGTATTTTTCTAGAAGAACTGAAAACATCATACCACAGCAACATATATGCACCTATGATTATAGTAGCGCAATTTGTAATAGCTAAATCTTGGAAACAACCCAAATGTCCATCAACTCAGGAATGGATAAAAAAGATGCGGTATTTTTATACAATGGAGTATTATTCAGATATAAAGAAAGATTAAACTAGAGGCTTTTATAGGTAAATGGATGCAACTAGAGACTATACTCATTAGTGAAATAAATCAGACTCACATGTATAAACATCATATTGCTTCCTTAGTATAAGAACCTGAAAGAGTAAATAAAATCTGAAAAGTACAATAGATACTGTGAAAGGGAAAGAAACTGCTCAA